CCCCCCGCCCCCCGCCCCACCTCAGCTGTGCACTGGCTCGCTGTGTCACTTAACCTCTCTGGGCATGAGCCTATAAATGAGGATGGCAACGCTGTGGTCCGAGTGTGTCCTCCAAGCTGAGTAGTCATGACTCGGGGCTTCTCAGAAGCCTTCTCTTGAACCACAGAAGCACACGCTGTGTGTCAGACACTATCTTTAAGTCCGTGACTCACCAGGCATCGAGTAACGGGGCTAAGAAAAGCCCTCCCCTGAGTTCATCTCCCCTCAACGGAGACAAACAATTACTTAAGATTTCTAGAAATACCCAAGGCACTCAGAGCCAGCTCCATGAATCGGCTCCTTTTACATGTTGGTACCTTGTGAGTTTTCAGTCATCTAGGAGTGACCGGCCCTGAGGCCCAGACCCAGGAGCTCTGTGGAAGGTATGAACAGGAAACAGAGTGGAGGTCCAGAATTCCTTCCCTTTTGTTCTGTGTGTGCCCCTATGTGGCCAAGGCCCCGCTGATGCTGTTCCCACTGAGACCAGGAGCTCCTGCTCCCAAACAGTAGGGACCAGCTATGAAGGTGGTCCTGAATTCCCAGGGTGTGGCAAGGCCTGAAGGAGGCTCCTGTCTCTGCAGCCCTGCTCAGGCCACAGCCATCCGCTTCCCTGGGAGTACGAAGTCGAAGTCAAGGGCAAGGGCGATGTGTTTGTGCTGGGAGACAGCCTCAGGGTAACTTCCTGCCCAGGCCATTGTCCCTGGGGCCTGAGGGGAGGGGGGGTGGGTCAAAGATGAGCCAGCAGCCAGAGGTCACCTGTTTTAAGCCACGTCTCTTTGAGGGAGGTTGCACCTGGTGTCCCTGGCAGCCGTATGTGCCAGAAACTGGTGGGGGCCAGCCTACTGTCAGGAGACAGCAAGGCAACTTGGCCCCAGGGAGGGGAGAATCCTCCATCCTGCTCCTGCAGCCCCTGTAGTGAAATGGCCCAATGGCAGGACAAGCGGCACAAAGAGGGCCAGTTCCCTACTGAGCACCTCCCAAACCAAGAGCCGTCCCTTCTCTAACGAGGTGGGCAGGCGGTGTGTACTCAGTGGGAAGCTCGGCACAGTGAGGTGGCCTTACAGCCAGCAGGTGTGGCCTCCAGTGCCCTCTGGTGGAAGAGGCCAATGCTGTGGCTCTCCCTGTGTCCAGGGTCTCTTGGCTCCTGCCGTCTAGTGGCAGTGATATGCGTACCTACCCACCTCAGACGTGTGGCACTCAGATACCAGCAGGGGACCAGAACTGGCCCCACAAGCACACAGAGGAGACAGTCACCGGCTCCTGAACCCTTGAATCCACTGGCCTGGAGGGCTGTATGGGACAAGGAGCAGAGCCCCCTCTAGGAAGCGCCCCCCACACTCCATACTATGTTACCAATGTCCATGCTACGTTACCATATTCGCCAAAACGCAGAGACTCCCACTGCTGCCACTCCACCAAGACGCTGACAGCACGCACGCCCACGTAGATGAGCAGCATGCCTACGGTGGCGTCCAGGAGGAAGTTGATGAGGTACCTGGGAGGAGAGGACATAGCAGCACTGTCAGGAAGCAAGAGCCCCTGGTGGGCCAACTTCAAGCCTGATGCCCTGGTACTTTGGCCTGTTCTGGGGCCCGTGCAAGAGGCTGCGGGGCTCACTCCCAGGAACCCCAACGAAGCCTCCCCACGACAGTGTGCTGACACTCATCAGGGACAAAGAAACTTGGAAGACCTCAAACACTCCCAGCAAATGAAGACCTCTCATAAGACAGAGTGCCTGGAAACAGCAAGGGAGTCAGCAGGGAAACAGAACTTAATTCAGTAAAAGAAGTCTGTTCCATGACACTGTTCACATCCTGACGGTCCAGTCCACCCAAAGCCCCGAGACAGTGCTCCTGTTCCAGGTCAGGGCCATGTGGCCCTTGTTCATCCCCATATTTCAGATTCAGAGCCTACCATGGAGGCAAGTACAAGTACTTCTAAGGAGTAGAAGCTTTATTCCCATGGAAAAGGCACGATGACAGGAGAAGGAGAGGAGGAGGGTCGGAAGAGCACTCCCACCTTGATCATGTGTTCTTGTAAGGTCTGTTCCCATGTGTCTGATACGCACCTCTTCCGTCACCAAGGAAAGGGCCTCCCTCGAGGGCCTGTACCCAGATCTTACTGATCACAGG